TTAAATACCATACCATTTATTATTCGAAATGTAAATCGGAGTCTTGTGATTTATTTATAATACCCTCGCTAATACTCGGGCAATTCAAATTCTACTTTTCCTGAAAAAGGAGATCTTATGTTTCATGGCAATTAAAAAGACAATACTTTTTAATTTAGTTCTTTTTACTTTAGCCAGAAGTTCTTTCGCATGGCCATAGCAATTCGATCATGTGGCCTCACAAAATAATGAAAAGATTTAAGGTAAAATATCAATTGTGTGTAATAACATCATTATGTGTAGATTGTTAACCTCGAATGAATTGATAACCTGTGGCATTGTTTTTATATCTTGCGTAATATGTATTTTTAACCTATTATTAAGTGAATTTCTTGTGTACTACAATTAGCAGTAATCTTGCTTTTATTTTTTTAAACCTTTTTACATTATGTACACTAGAAATCGAAAACGAAGACTTGATTTGGAACAGAATGAAATTAATTCGGTAGTCGCTATATTTTAGGCTTTTATATAATTTTAAAAGTCATTAAGATCTTACATGTTTTTTTTCTTTTAGGCGGTAGATGCACTAAAATCTGGCTCATCAACCTCTACAACAAAAAAAAAGTGTAATACAAAACATTCTACTAGTCAATCCTTTAGAAGCATGGATAAAGTACTATCAAACAAAAATAGCGTTGATAATATCGATGTTACTGATATCGATGATATTCAAAGTGAAAGGGTTGAAAGCCCACCTAGATCTCAATCTCCACTTACCGAAATTTTAAGCAACACATTAGAAAAATCTTCTACTGCTGCAAGTCATGGTCTGCCTTTTTTTTTTTTTTTTTTTTATTTTTTGTTTAATACTTTCATACCATGAGAACGATGTGTGTCATATTTGTCTTAAATTTTATTACTTTTCATGTTATAATTACCAATACTTAATACTGAATTGAATTTAGCCTTAAGTGAAGAAAGCGAATCGGCCAAATGTTTACTAGAGATGACTAAGAAAGTGTTAGAGCAAAATGCTTCTATTATGAAAAAACAAGAAGCATTAGAAGTTATGCTAAGTCAACTTACTAATAGTATCAAGGATTTACGATCTTCATGTGAAAATTTGAAGTCAAAGACAAGGACAATAATGATGAATGGTGGCAGGTACATGTATATTTATTGTTTAATCTAATGAAATGATGATACGTATAGTATACAATATATATATTCATTGTTTTTTTTAATCTTAGATGAATGATTCCAGGTATATAAGATATATTTATCGTTTTCAAAACTTGACCAAACGATAAAGGACGTAAAATGATTTTCTATTCACATGTGACTAAATCATCGGTTATCTAATGAAAAGTTAAGATGAAATTAGGTTTGTTTTAAGAAAAATTATTAAATTAGGCTTTAATCATATAAAATTTTTCTTATAATTTGTTGCATTACTAGTTTTAGCCGAGTCTGAACTATATGTGAATAGAAAATCGATTTTACGCTGTCCATTTTCAATGTTCAAATAATTTTGCGAAACTACATATCACGTAACTTTTATTTAATGAGCAATGAGTAAACAATTGCTCAGTAGTATCTTAGATTATGTCAACACAGCCAATTAGGCAATTAGGATCCTGTTGGTTTTATTAAATCACTAATAAGTTTTTTAATTTCAATTACAGAAAGGAGCAATGCAAGAGATCAAGATTGTCGTAGACAATTGGCTTTATCCCAACGATAAAATTTATGAACATGCTATTAAAAAAGAGCTTGAAGCTCTTTGTCCGGACCGGATGGAACGATACAAAAAAGCTTCTAGATGGGAGGCTTTATTTTGCAAAATTGAAAACTTAGTAAATAGTATTATTTTAATCCTAAGTTCTGCAAGTGCCGGTACACATACTATTAAAACATAGTGCACATTCCCGTACATAGTACTATGTTTTAATAGTACATGTACCGGCACTTGCAGAGCCCATTTAGCACATAATTTAATAATTATATTTTTTAATTTGTAGATTAGCGCAGAATCTTGCAAGTATCGTGGAGCATTATTTGGCACCTTTCGTTGCTCTGTATTTGAGCATGTTTTTAAAAAGAAGGTTTCTCCAACTGTTAACTCTGAAAGTTCTGAAGCCGAAATAGCTTCCTAGAAATTGAGCAAAGAAGTGCAATAGTGTTTAGACAACCTGGACGCGATAGTCGAAGAAGATGACAAAACGTACCTTCAGATGGTTGCTAAACGGGTTTTTGGAAGACAACCTACCAAAAATCAGTATGCAGTAACACGTGCCATCTTACATAATCTGTTTAACCCTGAAATTACAAAAATTAAGTTTGACGAAAAATATTTAACGCGAAAAATGCAATACTTTTTGGTAAAGTATATACTTATCTTTAATATATTGCTATGTCAATACTTGCAAACTTATCAGTAATTTACATACTTTCCTTAATTATATAATCTTTGATTTACAATAGCGTAGTGATAATGATGAAGAAAATCTTGAAGATGAATCTTCGAGTATATCTGATAGTGAATGAATGCTATAACTGTTATAGTATCTAATTATTTATATTATTTATGCTTTATTATAATCTTTTATATCTAATTATATGAAATTAAAATCTAT